TCAGCGACAGCTGCCTACTGATATAGAGGCACTGAAACACTTATTCTACAGTTAAATTTACTTTTTTAAAACTATATTTTTCAAAAAGGGGAATTAAAGCCAGTAAAATAACTGGTCTGGTTGCTTCAAAACTGAGGCTTTCATAGCAACATTTTTTTATACGTCTGGCTGTTTATTTCCAGATTTTGTCATCCCATGCAATACTGTTCAATTGTGCTTAATTATGTTTTATTTTCTCGTTAATTAGAAGGCAAAATTATGTGGATGTATGACACATGGGGGAGGAAACCAGTGACATCTAGTGGCAAAGGCTGCGGGTGATGAGATTAACAGGTTTTGTAAACTTTCAGAACTACAGCGTTTTTAAAAGTAGATTACAGTATTGTGCAGTCCAGTTCTGTCTGTATGATTCATTATTCATTCATTTCCCTTTACTAACTCTTACGGTTTAAACTGAGTATGATTTTCAAAGCTGACATTTTTATCTTCAAAGAGGACCAGGATGACATGCATCATTTCCCCCCCCCTTTTTTATCTTCCTAAGGACCCTGCATAAGTAAGTAGCTTGGGAAATAGGCTGGTTTATATGACTTTCATAGTTGCATAAAATTCTAATCACTGTAGAACCAGAATGCTTACTATTATTGCTATTGAAATTATCATTATCATCATTTACCAAGGAATAAACATACTGTATTTTGCTTTCATTTAAAGATTATCCTCGATTTACAAACTACCTGAAAAAGGGAATTTACGATCCCAATCTGAAGTTCCAACGGTTTCCCCACCCTGTGGTCACATGACAGCACTTGGCAACATGGCTGCATTGATAGCTACCTGCAGCATCTCAGGCTCACGTGACCACATTTTATAACAGTTTTGCTGAAAACTAGCACTTATTTCCAGTTTTCAGCAAAACCACACCATAACAAATAATGAATTTGTTCAATGACTGTGGCACTCACTTAATGACCATAGTATTTACACTTATAATTGCAGCATTCACTTTACAACTGCAGCAAAAAAAATTCAAAAAATCAGGCTGGATATATGACGGATTCATTTTATGACTGTTGCAACTTAATGGGAAGACTTGTATCTGGCTACTCCTTTTTTAGATTGAAAATGTTTTTTAAAAAATAATTCTTAATCACCCTGAATATTTTGGGTGATCAAAAACACAGGGATATTAATACAATCAATAAATCAAGAGCTACACTTTCGATTGCTTATTTCATATCTGTTTGAAAGACCTTAAGTGATTTTAGGACAGTGAGCTTTTTTATTTGATCAATTTTCCAACCAGATGCACTGTCACAGCCAATTTTTCACAATTAACTTCTCTTAAATATACCTGTTTTAAACCCTTCTTCCAGAGGTCCCTCGAAAGATCATCTACAAGTGTAATCAATGCCTTTTCGATCTGATGCCCAAGTCTAAATCCAGAGCCCCACATCCAAAGTTCTTTGGAGTAGAAGCACAGCCACCTTTTCAACAACCTTACATAAAAGGAAAGAAAGAATCCTGCCAGAACCCAACAACATGTCATCTCCTGTGAAGCTTTAGGTAGCCAGGAGAGATGGATCTCATATGACAAGCTAGCAGTTCTGAGAAACCTGTACACTACTTTGGAAACAATAAGGTCAAAGTCTTCCCAGATAACCAAGCTAGACTGAGCTTCAGTCACCTGCATGAGACCTGCTTCAAAGTCAGAGTCCAACTTATCACTCACCCATAAACTCATAATAGCCACACAATGATCAGATATTTGAGCCCTTGCTCCAAGAACGAGGCAGAAGCTAGCTCTGAAGCTTTGCATGCCTTTCACACTCCTATATCCCACTTGTTAGCAGAACCAGCTTTGAAGGAGAGGAAAGTTAAATGAGTTTCCCTTTCTTTTCCCAAAAAGTAGCTGAAAATCACTATTTTCCAAATGAGGATACCACAATACTGAACAGTTTGTGTGGGTGAAGGATGAGAAAAATCCTTTGTATGTATGTGTATAGAAATATGATTGATATATATGCAAAAGTATAATGAACCCCAAAGTTCAACACATATCTAGTGGGACTATTTTTTAGATATATTTCAGCACCTTGAAACATATTTTAGTTCGCTGTTTTAAAAAAGACATTATCATAATGTCTGCTGGGTCCCTGAAGGACATTTTGAACTTTCGTGGCAGAACAACCAATACAAATATGCTGTAAGCATTAAATATGTATTTTCTTGTTCTGCCTGAATACAATCAAGGAATTTATCATTTAGCCCAAGGGTTTGGGGCGTTGTTGTTTTTTTCAGACACAGAACAATGTAGAGTCATGAGATAATGAACAGCTTCTAGCTCAGAACATTAATAAATCATGCATTTAAGCTATGAAAATATATCACATAAAAGTTGGCATCCAGTATTATAAGGGTGGTGTTCTACAAGCACATTGAGGCCTTCCATCAGTTTTCTCAGGCACATAGACCCCAGATCTTTCTCAAAGGATCTCTCACTTTCAAGTACAGATGGTTCCCCAGGTGGAAAATAAAATTTTATTTATTTATTTTATTTATTTATTTTAAGACTTATATGCCGCCCTTCTCCCCACGGGACTCAGGGCGGCTCACAGCATATTAAAACAACATAGTACATTTCCCCAATAAAAGCCAATTAAAACCAAATATTTGTAGCTGTGTCTCTTATTAAAATCATTAAAAATTATCCCTATTTAAAATTCACCCTAGGTCATTCCTCAACAGAATTGCCTCAGCCAATAGAATGACACCATTGAACACAACCCATTTGGAAATGAAGAAGCTTGTAGACCCACCAATCAATTTTAACTCAATTTGGAGTCTAGCAAATATAGTGTGGGGCAGCTCACTACAAATGATTGCCTTCCTCTTGTCAGATTTTTCTTAAAAAAATATTTACATAATCTTCTTAGCAGACTGTTTAATGTCCTAAAGAAATCTGCACAAGTAGTCTCTCACAGTGGATCAATATTAATGAATTTCAAGATGCCAAAAACTATAAAAATAAGAATCCCACATTATACAGCTCATTTTAAAAAAATGGTAAGGGAAATACAATGTGGGTGTTTTGTTTTTTCTTGCAAAGGAACTAAATTTAAAACAGTGTTTTAACAAAGGGGAATCCAGTCCCTTAGGTAGTTTTTAAACTAATTTAAACTCTTTATTTATTTCAGGGGAAAGCACAAATAAAACTTGCATGTCAATAATTTCAAAAATACAACCTGTATAGATAAGGAAAACTTTAACGTATATAGGATGTTGATGCCACGAAAGTAAAATGATGAAATAAGTATGACATAAGACATACTTTTGCTCAAACAAATAAGTTTCAAAGCTTCTCTAACATTGGAAAATTCCTGTTCTGTATCTTAGATTAAAATGTTTACAATAAGGTATATCATACAAAAGAGCAATATCAGAAAATTTTGTAGCTTTTAATGCCTGTTCTCTCACTCTTTTCAGACATATTCTATGCATAAAAATTAGCCATAGATTTATATGTTGTATAAATCTATGCCATTCCATTGTCACTTTTCCAATTCTTGCTCTTTTTGAAAAGTTTAAAGTTTCCCTGATTTTTTGCATTGGAGAATATTTTAATTTGCACAAAAGAAAAAAATATGTGTCCTATAAATGTATTTCCAAAGGTAAATGACATCAAAATTTTCTGCTCATTTTATAAATCCTCAATATAAAACTAGCACATCAGAAAGAACATAAAATACTACTGTCACCGATTTTTAAGGTGACTTCAAGTCATTTCACATATTACAGAATGCAGTGTGAAGATGCTTCAGAACGTATCTCATTATGCCTCAAAAGGAAATAATGCTATTGTACAGTATGTAACATGGGCTAAGGAGGAACTTTCAACGAACCAGTGTTGAAAGAGGTCACATAAGTAATTGCATTGCAAAGGCTAGACATAGAAAATATCCTTGAAGGCATTTACAATTCCACTTCTTTAAGTATGTAAAAGCTCCTGAATACACACAGAGTTTAACATTTCTTCTCAGAAATTATTTTTATTTGGTTCTCATTCACAATGAAGTACAGAGAATGGCAGCCATAGTAATCATGGCAGTGATATGTATTCTGAATTTTGAGGGCTAACATAGCTATGAACATTAATATTAGGGAACCTTCAAAAATAGACAGTGGCCATGCATGCATACACACACACATACACACACACACACATGCAATCCAATCAAGAATGCTATAACACTACAGCACTTTTTCATATTACTTAATTAAGACAGCGACACATCATAATCATGGCTATGGGAACTTTAGAACTCCAATCTATCTTGAAAAGCCCTCCCTGGGGACTGGTGGGGGGAGTTGTCTCTCTTGCAAATGTGCAGTACTGGTGTGTATGGTCTTCTCAAAAACATCAAGTGCTTCTGCAATTGCCTTTTCTTTACTACAGACTCCAAGAGGGCTACACAGATTTGTGATCTTTAAATTAAGTGGTATTGATTTTACTAGCCTATTTCTGATTCTGATTTCTGATTCAACTATTTATTAAATAGAACACAGAGTAAGGCTACGAGATCTGGGGTTGCAAAAATCCAGACACCATTGGATAGCAGCAAAGAGATACAGAACACTTCTTTGCTGCCATCTAGGGCTGATTCAGATTTTTGGATCATCCCTCAGAATGAAAGCATACAGTATAAATGGATGGATATTTAAAACAAATCGGCCAGCCAAAGAATAACTTTGAAATGTAAGCAATCAATTGCCTTCGATTGCTTGCACTTCAATTTTCGTAAGCCCTTACAAACAATCATCTAAGATTTGGGGCGGTTCAGTCAGTGCATCCAACTCAATTCGTTCACTTAGCAGCTCTAAGCCCCTTTCTAAGCCGGTTAGCATTAGACTACAACTCCCAGACTGCATAGCAGCCTCAGACCGTGTCACGTGACCCATGTTATTTTCTCTTCTTCCAGTGATATTTCGTATCTAATCACATGGGAAGGGGAATATGGCCGCATTGGATAGGGAAGTGTTTGCCTCGCTTCAGTTCTTACTGAAAGTAAGTGTGCGCTTATTTTAATATGGGGAAAATAGGATGCCGTGGAACAGCGAACAGCTGCAATCATTTTGCTCTAAAGCACATTTAAGTGACAGGGCACAGACATGTTCGTGCTTATGATTTATATCCGTGCTTCTTATTAACAAAGTGATGTCTAGTTTTAATCCCTTTTTCACCGTTGAAAGGTGAGGCAGGGACATGGCTAAAAAAGAAAGCACTTTTCCTCCTTTTAGGCATTTATAAATCTAAAGCTAAAACGTTCCATCAATAGTTAACACATTAATTAAAATTATATAACAATTTTTCATCGGGCTTATTATCTAAACGCTCTGAGACAAAAAAAAAAATGATGGGGAACAAGGCAAAAGCTAACCTGGTCCTTGTTCCTCTCCAACGCCCAACTTTACTCTCTCTTCAAAAGATATTATTTGTTCACTCTCCTAGTCAAGCACTACATATTTATTATATCAAAATACAAGTTACTAGGTGCCTCAGGATGCATCAGTGTGTTGCACACTATTATGGCTTGTAGGCTGTTTAGGGTTTTTGACAGCTGACTGCATCTCAGAGCTCTTCCTGTGCCATTTCTTAGATGCACTGTTTTATTCTTGTTTGCCTTGACTTTTTTGGGTTGCTCTTATTTGCATCTTCCATTCTTGATCACAACGTTTCAGAAAAAAAAGCTCTAGATTTAAAACCCCACAATCTTATTTCTTCTATTTCAGTTGAGGGAGCTGACATTTAGGTTTCTGGTACTTGTTGCACTTCTTTTTTTGTGAAGGATCACTATTTGTTTCTCTCCTTCAAAGGCTCCTTCAAAGAATGTTGTTCGGCAGTTATGCCAAGAGTGCTTTTCTAGTTCAGGAATTATCTCCGAAAAACTCACTGAAAGTACCTGTTCCAATCTCTCAGTAACTCCCAATGAAGCAAATCAGGTAAGCTGCTGAAATATGTTCAAGATTCTATGAATACTTAAGGATACACAATATTTTACGGGAGAAGAGCATTTGTTTACAGCATTTGTTTCAGTACTTCTGAAGCAAATAAGAAGCACTCCAAGTTATTTTATAACAACAACAACAATAGTTAATTTGCCAAATTGGCAAAGTTATTGAAAATGACCCGGTCAAGATTTTGTGGGACTTTCGAATCCAAACAGACAGACATCTGGCCGACAACATTGCCTGACGTCACTATTGTGGAAAAGAAAAAAATCTGGTTCATTGATATTGCAATACCAGGTGATGCATGAATTGAAGAGAAACAACTAGAAAAAATATGAAATACTGTGATCTGCAAACTGAAGTTGAGCAGTTGTGGAGGAACTAGGATTGCCTAGATACATGGAAAGTTTGAACTTATGAGACCTGAATATTTGACTTTGAAAAAAAACACCTTATTCAGAACTGCCTATATACTCAGACATTACCTTAACAGCTCTTGGGTCGGTGGTTAGGACTTGAACTGTTAAGTTTTTAACAGTCCCGGACTGTGAATCAAATTGAAGATTATATCTTAAATAATAATATACTTAATTGCTGTTAGGTCCTTGATTAGGACTTGCATTCTTAAGTTTTTACCAGTCCCAGACTGTATATCGAATTAAAGATTAATAATAACAACAACAATAATAATAAAGGATAAAGAATAAAAGCCTAATAGGGAACTGGACAGACATAGATTACATAAATTGATGTGTTTTGTTTCTTTAAAAATGCATAAAAGGCAATGTTTTGTTAAATGTATTGTGAAATCCTTTATCTCTGTCATTTTTCTTGCAGTTAATCCAGTCTTTGCATAACCTTACAAGGCACATTGTTTACCATGGCCTAACGTTGCAAGAAGAAATTCTCTGTCTCTTTCCAGAAGGATTTCATCAGAATCTTAAAAATCTTGTAACCAAGATAATCCTGGAAAATATGTAGGTTTCAGGTTTCTAACTTTGGGCAGAGACAAAGGGATTCAGTTTGAGGCTCATGATAGACCATGACTTAAGAAAGTTAACTGAGATTTGATAGGTTAAACAATTGCTATGGCTGATGTATCATCTCTGGAAAATGAAAACAAGCAAAAACACCCCTTAATGTTTTTCTATATAGTACCAGCCTGAGTTGAAGTTGCACGCAAGTCTCATGATTGTAACTCTGAATTCTGACTGACTAGCTGCTACACATCTATCTAGACCCATGTTGTCAAGAAACTACCAGTATTTGCAGCAACCACACATTATTTTGAAACACACACACAGGTATTGTTTGTCACATAAGGGAAGGGCTTCTATTTCCATACCAAAGTATATAACTTTAACCCCTCTATACAAAAAAGGAAACTAGTAAGTTCAAGGAACTTCTCCCCATCACCCCAGTTGTATGCATTATCACACTTACGCTGAAGACATAGCTTGGGGATGACACATGCCTGTTGGCCATGTCTTCTTATGCCAGTCTTTTTCAGAATGTTGGTGCTCCGGGTTATAGAATTTCCTGCCAGCATAGCAATTGACACATTTCAGAGTTTATTATAAGATTCTATATTTTTCTATTCCAGGTCATGTAGCCTTGCTTGAGCAACTGGATGTGATTTTTATAGTAAATTTAGATTTCATCCATTGCCAATTTGCCCTTCCTTTCTGGATGATTGTTTGTCACAGAATAACCCTGATTTCCCAGCTATGATATTACCACTGCAAGATGAAGGCAGAAAAAAGCAACTTGTCACTCACAATAAACAAGAGACATTTGCAATTACTGAGCAAAGGAAATAATTTTGCAGACTGTCAGTTGTTGAAGCTGTAAGTGACACTGAAATCCAATATGCATTAGATCTCTTCAGACTTCCTGGCCACAAGAACGTAGTTTGTGGAGTAAAACTAGTTTTGTGGAATCTGTTACTGCTTTCTGCTACTATTCTGCCTTGCAAAGACAATTATATTTTTGAATATTCTCTTTCCTCTTTTTAGTTCTGCCTGGAGAAATGAAGCACAAGCCAGTCAAAGTGAGTAGCAGGATATGTGTTGGGATAATAATATCACAGTTATGTAATATAGCATGTCTGCATTTAATTTCACACGTTTAAGTTTAGGGCTATTTCATATAAAGCATGTGTCTAGCATAGAAATTGCTTCATAGATATGTCTGAAGCAAGCCTCAATCTTTTTTGCCTATTGGAAAAGTCATGGATTCTTGTAGTATTTCTTTCAGCGTTATTATGCCCAATACAGAAATGAATAAGAAATTCTTTAAATTTAAATTCTTTAAATTCTCCTCTTTCTCTTGAGGGTCTCATTCCACCCATTCTGCTATTCATTCTATTAAGCAGATCATCTCGGTATATTTATTTATATATTCATTGAGTATCCATTCACTCTTGATCCTATTCTTGTTTTACCACACCCACTTATTAAATGCCCCCATTTCCATTGCATCCAATTTTTTTTCCTGAAATACCCAACTGTCATGTAACAAAATGGACAGAAGCATACTCTTATACTCTGCCATTCTGGCCTATTTTAATATTAATTCCTTGCAACTGACAGCATATTACCCATTAGCTACATTTGCACTTCTTAATTTATTTCTGTCCATTTTCCTGTCTTTAGTAAATATCCTACCAAGGTACACAGATTCATCAACCTGCTCAGTTTTTACCTTTTATCATTTGCAATCACTCATTTCTTTTTCCTTGTGAGAATGAACCATCTTGGTCTTTGAAGCATTAATTTTCAGATGTACACTCTTCATTACATCATATAGCCTAATGTTTCCTATAGATTGTTTTGGTTTCAGCATACAACAGGGCAGTGGTGGTATACAAAAGTATGTGCATGTTCATCTCTAACCAACACACTCCAATATTTCTACAAGTATTCCTTATATATTTATCCATGAATGGATTAAACAACCAAAGGGACATCACACAGCCTCATCTTAATCCTTGTTCAGTGCTGAATCATTTTTAAGCATTCCATTTATTCTCATGTGTGCCTTATTTCTATTGGGTGTTGCTCTGATTACACACACCAATCAACCTTCAGTTCCCATTTTCAGCCAAATATTTGATAATGCAAGTCTATTCATATTATCATACAGTTCAACCAAATCCATAAATACACAGCAAGATTTTATTCCCCATACTGATGCATTTCCCAATGACTTTTTCTCACATCATACACTTCTCAATAATATATGGGATTGATAAATGTGCTGAAAATATTCCTCCGTGAACCAAACCTTGATAAAGGCTTTTTTATATTTAGCAGGGATGAGGACTCTCATAACAGTATCATTGTTGGCTTATTAAAGTTTTCTATTTCTTAGTATGCATTAAAATGACAGTATTTAAATGACATAGAATTTCTTGCATTATTGTGTATCTTTCCTCCGGCCTAATTCTCATGAGTGGCAATACATTGACAATCCAGGAAAATGCAATAGTGATGTGTCTCTAATATCAAATGTTTGTTAAACAAGAAATAAAATGCTTTTGCTTATTTTCTCCAAGGAAGTTATTTTTACAAGAATGTGCTGCTTTATGAATTTCAATATTAATAGAGAGCTACCTTGTTTTTTGAATTAGAAATTTTGATTCTCGGTTCATATTGTACATTTCCAAACCCAGGAACATTGCAGTGGCTTAGTCAAAGTCAGTTGATAGTTATCTATTTCAATAATATCTAGAAAAACCAATGTTCAAAGTATGTAAATTTATTTGACAGCCAGTATGTTCTGACAGCTCCTTTGTTCAGATGTTCTGTATCTAAAAATTTCTTCCCCATCTTTCATACTTGTCTCATTTCCTTAATTCTCACTAGGATCCTTTTATGTGTTATTAAATACTGAGCTGAGATGGTCTTTTGATCAAACTTTTTGGCTACTGAATGGAACTGTGGCATGGTGTTCTAATAATCATTTGCAAGAAGGAAATAAAAAACAGATGGGGAAAGCAGTTTAAATTAGCAGATGAGTCATGAATTGGGGCATTCATGAAACAGAGCAGTTTTGCTTCAAATTCAGGAACAAACTATCACTTTCTAGAGAATCTATTGAGCTGTTTAAGGTCAGTAATGGTTGTCCTAGGTTTGAAATGAAACAAAACCTAGTAAGTAAAATAATTCTGCCTGATCTGGTAGGATGGGTAGATATTGCTATGTAGGCAAAGTGACAGACTTCTGGGAAAATTTGTGAACTGAATAGGATAACCATGTTGAAATGAAATGCTAAAGAATAGACTAGATACTTGTAATTCCTCTCCAGACAAGGAGAAAACTAGAGATTTTCCACAAGTGCTCCATACATTTGCTCCTTGTGAAAAGGCTACAATGGACTTAAGAGTTCTGGGAGATGTGGGAATAGTTACTAACATTGATTATGATGAAGAGGGAAGTAATTTCTTTATATTTTTCTTTTCTTTTTCTTTATTATACTCTTTATTTTTTCTTTGTTTTTATTTTTGGCACTTTCTTCTTTTTTCTTTTTCTTTTATTTTGTATTAGTTTTTATCTTTGTAGTTGTAATTTTTAATAACAAGCACGCAAAACATACACATTACATATTCAGACAATATTTGCCGAACTAAAATGAACAAACAGGTGAATGGAGTCTCACAGAAAAACGAGGAGCCGTTCTTTATTAAAACCATTTAAGATGCTTTACTTTTATCAAGAAATAAATGGAATGTGGCTGGAAGTTAATTGTAGTGCAAGAGAACAAGAAATGTTCTGAGGCCTGGTAAGACAGAGTGACTACTGAGAAGAATTAATTATTTTGAGCTGGAATTCTAATATAAAGCTATACATGTTTGTTAAATGTGTGATAGAGGCAAAGACCTGAGGCGAATATAGGAGGGAAAAAATATCCCCCCCTCCTCTTATCCTCACCCTATCCCTTGAGAATACTTAATGACTAAGAGAGAAAAAATTCTATCCACTTTCTCCATTTTTTGAGAACAAAATTTAGATCTTCAGCACGATTGATATCTTCTCCAGCCATTGCATGAGATATTTATGACAACATTACATTAGGCAATGGTCATTAGCTTTAAATGGAGATTAGATATTAGACTTTTGTAATGGTGGTAAATAATTGTTTGAATTGCTTCTTTTCACTTTATTGGAACCGTTTGAAGCACAAAACACCTCAGTTCTGAGCTTGAAATGAGGTCATTGCAAGGTCTGAATACTTCTGAAATGGTGGGGAAATTACGTTGAACTTAAATTGGGACATTTTGAGCCTGAAACATTTTTATTCTGAACTGCTTTACACACCTGTCTTTTTAGATATACTTGTTTGGAAGCAAGTCGTAGTGAGGTGAATTGGATTTCTTTTCAGTAAGCATGTACAGTATAGGGTGGTATTCTGAAGGAATATATGGGATTTCTTGCACTGTAAGCATCTGTGCTATTGCTGGGTTTTTGTTTTGGTTTTTTTTTTTTTTGCACCTTGACTTCATTAGTTCTAGTCTGGTACAAATAAAGTCAGCAGGATCTTCCAGAGCCATCCATCAAACGGAACTGTCCCTGGAGCTCTAACAAATAGATGAGGCATCTGACGGTTGCTATCTTATACACATGCCATTCATCAGCATGCTTTTTTTTGCAGGCACCAAAACTGCAATTGTGTTCTTTCCATTAATTGGTTTTTGGAACCGTCTGGATCTTTGGCTGCCAAGTGAGCTGATGGTCGCTGCCTCTTTCTCAGGAAGCTTGACGCTGTAGACCACTAGAGCTAGAAGCAGTTTCAATGTGTGAACTAGACTATAGGTTAATTAAGCCAGGCTTGGGTGGAGGAAGATGGATGAGTGGATGGATGGAGGAAGACGGATGGAGGATAAATGTAATCCTGTGTATTTTCAGTCCATTTTTAAAGATTCTCTGACATGACATAACTCTTGGAAATGTTACCATCAGTATTATTTCTAGGTTCTGCGCAGGTGCAGAGTTTTGTAATCCTTGTGGAATTTAAAATGCCAATTATCTCATTAGAAAGCTAGGTTTCTAATTAGATTCAATGAATCTTAGTTGAATTTTAAAAAATTGGGGTAGGGCTTTACCGGAAATTAACAAACAGAATGTTCACCACAATCTAACCCTTATTTTTTAGAGTTAGGACACAGCTGCTTTCTACTGTGCTTCTGAAGTTCTCTGTTTCTGGTCCTACTGCAATTCATTCTTTTCCTGACATGTAAGAATCCAATCAAAATGGATCACTTGGTCTGGGTTTCCCTACTCCTCAAGGGGCAAACTGTAATGAGTAAAATTTTTGTGCTTTTTTTTTAAGATGTCAAAAAGGAAGGTTTATCTAAACTTTGAGCCTTTCATGACAAATTGAACTGTCCTTAGTTCAGCCTTTTTTAATAACTTGTCAGTCTTGTCATATTTATGAGGCAATGTCCTTCTCTGTGAGGCAACAAGTCCAAATACTGTATAGTGACCAATACAGAGAAAACAGTTTTAAGTTTTTGAAACCCATAACAAATATTTAGAAATCAGCTCTATACAGATATATAAAAGAAAAAAAATCATGTGGATAATCTGAACAAAAATGTCAGAACTGCTCAGGGCTGAATATGGATTTTGCATCAGAATTAAGAAAAATTTCTATAATTAGATTCAATAAAATAAGTAAAAATAAATGGGCAATATAAAGCCTATTCCTTGGCCCATTCACAGTAAAAATACAGAATGTCATTACTACTGAGCCAGTATAGTCTTCATTGAACTGTTTTATTTCTCCCTCCCTCCCTCTCCCCCCCTCTTCCCCCCCAATATCTTTATTCCAAAAGTGTGCTTCATTCGTTTGTTTTCTCCAGGGAGGGAGATTTCTTTCTATGCATACCTACTTAGAAGGAAATCCCACTGATTTCAAACTTCAATTGCATGAAAGGAGTAATACATGCTTATTTATTTTGACCAACTCATTTTGCTTTCATATATTCAGAAAATTCTTGGCTGGATTGAACAGAGGGCAAAAGAGTCACAATGCATATAATACAGAGCCACAGAAGA